TGTGATATTTTAATAACAATGTTTATATGACTATTAACCATAATAAGAGAGTAATTACAATTTATATATCACATTAATATGAAACTGCAATAGAGCAATTGTTTGTGATAGAAACCTAGGCATTAGGTCGGGGAATTTTTATCGTGATGACGTGCACGCCACTTTGTTTGGCGTTGACTATAACTGATAACCACACTCGTTTGAACAGATCGGTAAATACCAATTCAAAATGGTAAATTCCATTTTTATTTATTTGCTTGAAACTGATTACAACCTTCAAGGTCACGTAAATATGATAACGGTTACGGCCACATTCCGACGTACACCTATGTCCTCATTTCAGTTCTGGTGTAAAAACGGGGGTTCTACTTGAGAATATCCACTTGACGTTGAAATGACCTTGAAGGTTGTAGTCAAGGTCATTATGAAACTCACAAACACATTTTAGCTCTCGAAACTTTGCAACTTTCGTTTGAAACTTATTCGTGTAGGATGCGCACTTTTCAAGATTTTGGGCGATTAAAACGGAACACTCTGGGTATACATATTTTCATTACTTGTATCACATCTAACCACTTTTTTTTTTGATTTTTTTGTGGATTTTTTATGACATGTAACGATATCATATACAACTATGCTCAGTGACATAAGAAGTGTTACACCCAGAGAAAATAATTTCTTCAACTTGATTTTTTGGCAATGAGGTATTCTTATATCAAGAATAAAACGATACCATTCTCACTAAATCTTATGGACAAGTAATAAGAAAAAAATTAATAATGTGTTGGTCGACCCCGCAACTGAATACACTCCTGTATACGTCTGGGTATCGACAAAATGAGATGATCGATGTCTGGTTGTAGCACTTCATCCAAGCAACTCGAACTTCGTGGATAACATGTGACAGAGACTTCGATATGATTGTTTTGCGTTGTCTTGTTAAAAAGAGGACATGTGGACGGCCCTCTAGATATGGCAGTAAAGTGGTTTGTAGGTCATCATCAACATAACGCACAGCAGTCATATTTCCTTGAACAAAGAGAAGGCAATAGCCCCCCAAAGTTACTCCAACAGTCCTGTGTACATGCCTCGCTACGGCAAATCTGATATCACACCATTCTCCACGGCGTCTTATTAGAAGTGTAAGACCATCGTGCGTACCAATGCAGAATGAACCGCGATTCGTCGCTGAAGATGACATTATGCCATTCTGCCTCCCAATATTGCCATTTTCTGCTTAAGTTCAAACGTTGATGACAGTTGTCCGCAGTCAGAGGAGATACCAACAGTGGACGGCATGAAAAAAGTCGAAAGGCTCCAATGCGGCGATAGAGTGTACGCATAGTAACAGGTCTATCTTCTCCAAACCATTGGTCAGCGATCTGACACGTAGTAGCAAAGCGGTTTTCATAGGCTAGTTGTCTGAATCTCCTATATTGACTCTCGATGGTATACGTCGGAGGATAGGTTGGCCGTCTTCGTGTTCCTCTACATTTTTCTATCCACACACACACACGCATTACTGTCATTGCAGGACAATTAACACAGCGGCCAATTTCGCGATCGGACAAACAAACATCTCGATAGGCAATAATTCTAACCCTGTCAAAGTCGCTAACGTGGTGATAATTTGGACGTCTTCGACTTCGAGGCGTTTTGTTGTGCTCAAAAATATCTGTACTACTCAGCTCTCAGAAACTGCCAAATTATTACCATGCATGTCATAATATCATCTTCAGCGACGAATCGCGATTCTGTCTAGGTGTGCACGATGATCGAAATAGGGTAAGACGCCACCATGGAGAAGACAATATGACTGCTGCGCGTTATGTTGATGATGTCCACTTTACTGCCGTATCTAGAGGGCCGTGCACACGTCCTTTTCTCAGTAAGACATTGCACGTCCCAATATTGCTTGTCATACTACTGGCTTTCTTCAAGAATCAGGCTTTAACGGTTTGCTGTGGCCACTCTGTTCACCGGATTTAAATTCCATTCAAATCTAAATCCCATCGAACATGTCTGGAATATGATGGGGAGGAGACTAACCACTTTCTACCATCCACCACAGGCTCTGCCATAGCTAATGCACGAAATTCGAGTTACTTGGAATGAGGTGTCACAACCCGACAACGATCATCTCATTTTGTCGATGCCTAGACGTATACAGGAGTGTATTCAGCTGCGGGATCGCCCAACACATTATTAATTTTTTTCTTATTACTTGACAATAAAATTTCCTGAGAATTTTATCCTTTCATTCTTAATGTAAGACTGTCCCATTGCCAAAAAATTAAGTTGGAGAATAATTATTATTTCTAGGTGTAACACTTCTAATGTCACTGAGTATATGTTTATCTGCTTGTGTTATGTACACAACGATTTGGATCTATACAACACGCAGTATGATGTGCATGAGGCATTCCTTAGATATTGCTAAACATGGTCTACAAATAACTAGAAAGGTTCTAACTGCTGTGGAATCCACTTTTACAGTGTTCTTCCTGAGGCACTCAGAATATCTGGCACCGGATTATTTAAGTATAGAATTAAATCGTACCTGATCAAGAGAAGAAGAATGTTTAAGTGATAATTTTTCAGACCTTTTATAATGGAGTTGTGGTGTAATTATTTCCGCTTACTCTGTTAATTTTTTCGGATATGCTTGTCCGGTAGTTTTCAATTTATTTTAAATTCATAATATCATTTTACAGTTTTTCTGTTAATGTTATTATTTCCAAATAATGTTATAGTTTTGTGAATTTACACTCTTGTAGTTTAAGTTTGAGTATGACCTGTGTAAGCACGCAAGTGTATTAAGCACCAATAAAGAAATGAAATGAAAAAAGTATACAGTATAATGAATTTTTAAAGAAAATTTTAGGCTATATACATATGTGGAAATAATGATATTGATCCAAATTGCCTTAGTAAGTTGTTGGTCATCGGTGAAATAGAGGGCAATACATTTTACTGAAGCTCAGAAGTTTTTGATGCCACAAATTCATCTTATTTACCCGTTGAAGACTTAGGGTTGACTGATATGTGTGAAGTTTCAAAGCCGCTTCTGTAGTGTAGACAATGTAAGCCGCGGATCCATGGAATGAATCTCGAAACTAGTGACGGCCGTTCTCGTATCTTTTAATGACTTTGCGTCACTTCTTTGTAAATAAACCTAGTTTACACCTTCGTGCTAAATCCGACTTGTTGCAGATATATCCAAACCCCACGTGAGTACACAGTGCAGTAGTTGTTACAACAACAAAACTAGTTGCTTCACTTTGTGTTTCTGGTGTAGTTCGGTATAAAGCTTCATCCTATTATTTCAAAGATCATCTTTACAATTATATCAATCTTGTAATAACTAATACAAGCTTAGTCCATTATTGCAAACAAAACGCATGGTAATTCGTAATGCTACGAGTATCTAACATATTTTTAGTGCTTTCCAATGCCCAGCTATAGTCCGTACCATGAATGTTGGCGTACACGTCATCATTTGTACATTTCCGAGCAAATAGTTTTGAAGTAGGCACTTTCTACCATAGGCGAATATCCATAGGCGTGCCCCCGGGAAGAGATTTTTAGTAGTAAAAATGTACTGTGTCAGGCGGAAAGAGTATTTTCTGTATATTTCGAAAATATTTGCTGCACAAAACGGCAAGTCTTGATTCATTGTTATTTGAATGCGCGATTTAAGGAACATATTTCAATTTTGCAGGAAATGAAGAAAAACAGAATATTTTCTGAAAAAGCATAACATTGAGAAAAATATTGAAATTTCAGTTTTAAGTTCTAAAATTAAACATACTCGAACATATAAGGTAATTAATAGTTTTTTTATTTGTACTGGTAGATAGCGTATATGAACACAAAGTTACGATGAATTACCAGGCTCTATCACACAACAATTCCTTCAAGCTTTCATGGGTAGATTTGACCGAAATAAATATCGCTGTCTTAAAAATCTTCATCTGAACTGCTGTCGTCTCCATTGATTGTGATAATCACTTCTGGCTCATTATCCAGGATTCGTTGTCTGTTATACCATGCATCTATAACTCCCTCCGTGTGTGTGACAACAGAGGCCCATCTTTCAGGAGTACAGTTTTCCAATGCCTTCTGCCACATGCCTAGCACTTTGTCAGCGCCATAACCTTCCTCGCCTATATGGGTATCATAATATTGTTTTGCCTGTGCCCATGGCATTGAACTGGCAGTGGTATGGCGGTAGTCGCAGTACCTCAGGCCCATGTTCTCGTAGGTATTCATCAACAACAAATCTTGCAGGCCGAGCATGTTGCTTGGCCAATTTTAAGAGTTCACTTTTAAATTGGTTCCTCTCAAAATTAATGTTGTTTCCCTCCAACCACTGTATGACCTGGGCTTTTGTCCAAGATGATATTGGCTGCTTCTCCACTAATACACTGTGGTAGGAAGCATTATCCATAACAATGAGGCATGGCTCCTCCAAATTTGGAACCAGCTTCTCTTTGACCCACTTCAAAAATATATCGCCATTCATGTCTCCATGATAATCTGCCAGTTTTGAGGCAGTGCCATAGATGAGTGAAGCATTCTCCACGAACCCCCCACTGTGACCAGCATGTAATACAATATAGCGTTTGCCTTCAAATCCCCCAGGTTTTCGGGTCCCTGTTACGGATCCGTCCTGCCAGGATCTCTTCCTGTTCCCTTTTGCAAAAATCCATGTCTCATCTAAGAAAACAACTGTGCGTTTAAAGGGGGAGTTTCCATTTTCATTATATTTGCGCAGAAATTCTGCTTTCAAAGCAACGACACTGCTTTTCTCCATAAGCGCCTTCCGGTTGTCTTCCTGTTTATATTGGAAGCCAATAAGCGGCAATAAGCGGCACAATGACATCTTGCTTATGTCCACTATTTGTTTGACGTCCAATTATTCCTTTAATGATTTGATAGTAACATGCCTCTCTGTAAGTATTAATACATAAATAAATCGTATTAATGGACAAAAATACGTACTTTCTGAGTACATGTTGTAAATTGCATTTTTCACTTCCATCTTCACAGCGTCTGGTAAGTCTGCTGTTTTTGTTTTTTCCCGGGGCTTATATTTTTTTGTTTTGGAGGCAGCTTGATCTTCCTGGTCTACGGGCTTTCGGTTTTCTTTTGATTCTCTGAAAATACGTGATACCGTCCGCATACTAATGCCCATTGCGTGGGAAACACGCTGAAAATTTAATTCATTTATTTTATGATTTATTAGACTTCGTATAATGTCACATGTATTAGTGATAGGCATGTGAATAAACTTTTAGGTTCTGTCGATGGTGAAAAAACCCTACAACTTTTTTTTCAACGTTCGAGAGTTCGAGACGTTCGAGAGTAAAGCGTCCCACAAACCGGCGCGAAATATTCGCTTTGGCTGCGAAAATTTCGCGGCGATGAATTCGCGATCAGATTAAAACGCAGCGGTTTACGGACAGGCTCAGACTTGTGCGAAGCGAATGCGATTGTTCCAGCGTTTTTATCGCGGCGTATTTCAGTTCGCCTTTGACCGCGTTTTTGACGCCGTTCTTCAAAAATTCGCAATGGCAAAAACGGAATTATTGATAGAAATAGTGAAAAAGTATCCTTGTTTGTATGATTTTTCGAACGATGAATACAGGAATGTGAGAAAGAAAGACAATATTTGGATGGAAATAGGAAAAGAATTAAATACAAATGGTATGTACCTAATATTTTTTATTAACTTGTTAAATAATTTACAGTCTACACAAATGTGAAAACGAACATTCTATATATTGTGCATAGGCATATCAGAATTAAAATAATTTACGAATTTGTCACGAGTAGAAAATGCTAGCCTTGCTGCCCGCCGAGGATCATTTGCTATATCAGTAAAAGCTCCAAGCACGGGTTCTGGGGGATCTAAGAATTGAAAATATTTGTCATCGCCACTTTTACTTCGTAAAAAATTGTGTAAAACACATGCCGCACGTACAATTAGAATAGTAGTATCTACTTTAGTTTCTAATGGCCTGTAAAATATTCGCCATTTTTGAGACAAAATACCAAACGCATTTTCCACGACCCTGCTAGCTCGACAAAGTCTTACATTGTATTTCTCTTTTCTGACGTCTGTTAAAGTCTGCTTATAAGGAAATGGTCTCATAAGGTATGGTTTTAAAGCAAATGCTTCATCACCAATTAAGACGTACGAGCAGATTTCATTTTGCCCAGGGAGAAATCTAGGTGCAGGAACACTCATTAAATTTTGTTCAAATCGTTTTCCCATGTTTGAGGTTTCGAAAATACCCCCATCACTATTTTTTCCGAAACCACCAATATCAAAACATATAAATTTATAGTCCGGGCCAACAATGGCCATAAGTACTATTGAATATTTATGTAAATAGCACCAGTAATTGGATCCACTGTTGTTAGGTCTCTTGATTGTTACATGTTTACCGTCCACGCTGCCAATGCAGTTGGGAAATCCCCATCTATTTTCAAATTCTTCAGCACATTTTTTCCATATATTCTCTGTTGGTTCTGGTAAATATATATGCTCCATATGTCTGCATATCACTTCACAGACTTCGGTTACGATTGCATTCACTGTTGTAAAGCCAACTCGAAAGCTATGCCCAATGGTATAGAAGGTGTCACCAGTGGCAAGGAATCTATAAAAAAAATCGTTTTTAGGTGATGAAGTAAAAAAAAGGTAGAAGAATATCAGAGACACATTTGCAAAATATATAAAATCTACCAAACCAAAGACCGGCTAAGCAGTGGGCAACATAAAAAAATGGCAGTGCGCTGACTACATGGAATTTTTCCGTCCTTTTTTGGCATTTGCCAAAACGTCGTCTAATGTGAAAGATATTGACGTCATACATTATGAGACTGCCGAATTTAACTCAAATATATATCAGGAAAGGGCTGGAAATGTAGAAACCGAAAATTTGGAAGACCGCGGCCATGCAGAAGATGAAAATGCTGATGTAGATGCAGAAGATGCACAGAACGCCTCGGCAACACAGACAACACCACCTTCTTCATTGAACACTACAGCAGTGACTACTCCAGGGCACACCTTTCCGCAGACTGCAACTACACCAAAATATAAAACGAGCAGAAAACGCTATGAACCACCATCTTCGTCTGTACAACAGCTCATTAATTATTTTAAAGGTAAAAAACCTAAAAAAGAGAACGAGGCCATTGATTCACTTTTCTTGGCACATGCACAGACTGTGAAAACACTTCCCTCAAAGCGTCAAGCCCGAATAAAACTAAAAATAGCCGAATTAATAGCGCACGAAGGATTTGAACATATTGAAGAAATGTCTTCAGCGTCTACCCAGAATTCTGCAAGTATGTATGATAGTAGTATGTCGTCCTTCCCAAGCGGCACTGGGTTTACTCCAATAATATACCCACAAGAGGAGGCAAATTCTGCCTCGAATTATTTAGCAACATTTAATCCTAGTGGCAACATGTAGTTCAATTATTACAATAAAATATTTATTTCACGATCCCTGAAGTTTTCGTATTCGATAAGCCTACTAATTTTAATACATATAATTTTTTTACCTGAGTGTAATAGCAAGTCGTTCTTCTGGCGAAATAGCTTCACGATAATTTGTGTCGGATTTTCGTATTTCATCTTTCATCAAGTTCAATACTTCATCGAAACACTCTGGAGTCATTCTAAAATATACGTAAAAGCGCTGTTCATCCAGCCGAAGTTGTGGCATCAAGGTATGGTATTCCCCAAATTTATTTCGTTCCAAGTTAATATCATGTACCCACTTCCTTCGTTTCCTAAACAAAATTGAAAATATTTGTTTTATGTACTTCGTTAAACTTAATACATACCCAACTATCAAATGGCGTTAAATAAACATAACTTACCGTGCATTTTGTTCCTCTTCTAAAGCAAGAAATAGAAGTGCCTCCTCTTCTTCTGAAGACGAGCTCATTGCAAAAGGCAAAAATAAAATGTACGCAACCTGTCGAAACCTTCACGTTCGCGGAGCGAATAAGACGCTTTGGTATGAATAAACAGGCGAAACAGATTGCGAATTTCGCTCTGAATTTCATTGCGAATACTTCGCCGCGATTATTTCGCGCCGGTTTGTGGGATGCTTAAAGCTTCGAGAAACCATAGTTATTCATTGTCTGTCTTGATAGTTTCTCTCCATTTGAAAATGTAATATAAGATATAAAAATTAAAGTATAATATAATTTTTTAATACATGTGTAACATAACAACAAAAACATGACGCAAGGAGAAAAAACAACGTGAAACTTTTTTCAATAATACATATAACCATACATATAAATATTACCTCCTGAATTGCGTCCACAGGTAATAAGGGCCCATTATTACGTTTTTCGCGATCAAAATACTTTAGTAGCTTCACCACCATGTCCCTGGCTACTCCATCAAGTCTTTTGCCGGGCATTTCTTATTCACTTTATTTACACTAATTGTAAAGAACAACAAACCGGAAAACGGTGCAAAAATCAACCGCGCAGGTCTGAACCTTTGCTATACAAACCGTACGCTCATGATCGTCGCTGTCACCGTGACTTACGATATAGTGCGACCTACCTAATAATACCGCCTTTGTCTAACACATTGCTGCGTAAGCGGCAACGCTCCCAACTTCTGTCGTAGCACCAGAAAACATATGTTATTGTTATCCAGTACGGTCGTGCTCACTCGTTAAAAGGAGATGGCAGAAAATCTGCCAGTCGTGGATAAATGCATCAAGTGATGACGTGTATGCCAACATTCATGGTACGGACTATATAGGCGTTTCAATAGATCCTGGAAGAAGTAATAATTATTGGAAAATTCCAGCTACACTGTTTTACTTTATTGACACCAAAGTCTGGCGTTATTCATTAAAAATTAATTTAAATTTTGTGAACGTATATGAACGCAGCTTAACTAAAATTTCCGCTAATGCAGCACGATCCTCAAAAGTTATAGAATATAGCGTGGATTGGAATTCACGTATTCAAAAAGCGTTTTTTTTTTCGGGAGGGGAGGAGTATCTATATTAATCAATCTTTAAGGGTACATTACTGCTCATTTTACGTATCAATATGCGTTCTATTCATCAGATAACAGATAAAATACAGGGAGATTCACAAGTCGTGACCAAAAATGACAAATCATACACAGGACCGCATTTTAAGGGGGGTTTCTATGTAACAATTTTTTTTAATATCTTCAATACCGCCAACTCGAATGAACTAAAATTTGGTATGTGAATCTACCTAAGTATTGTCCACATTCAAAAATCTTTACTTAAAATTAAGGTGCTCCAGTGGCGGAGATACAGGAGATTAGTGGCATTATTTGTCCAAATAAAAGTAGTACGCCACTGTTTTTTTCGAAACGCGCAATTTTTAGAATTTTACCTTCAATTTGCTACATATAATTAATCTTGTGTTTTTTCATAGAGTGCAGTAAAAATAAAAATAAAACAAATTGGATCATTCAAGAAGAGCCGAAATACAATAATTAATTTCAAAATAAAATATGGGCCTTGATAGCAACTTGACGTTTCTTGGAAGATAGTTGTCAAAGTTATGTGTTATACGGTTGTTATCGTTACAACTACCACTTTTTTGGTAAAAGTCAAGTCAAAAGTTCCATTTTTCCATTTTTGAGTGTTGTGAAATGGAATTTAACAATGATACGCCGATATTATTTTTGTGTACGGGTTCTGTAATGAAAATGCGTTAGCGGCTTTTCGGTAGTATCAACGTAGATTTCCTAAGAGACGCCAACCTACCCCAAAGGTTTTTACTAATCTGTTTTTTCTTTTATCTTCACGAAAACAATGCGCTTTAGGAAAAAAAAATAGATTAATTATTTGTAGTAAATTGAAGCTGAAATTCGAAAATTTGCATGTTTCTAAAAAAAAAACGGACATACTACTATTTAATTTTGAAAAACAATGCCACTAATCCCCTGTATCTCCGCCACTGATGCATGGTAATTTTGAGTAAAGACTTTTGAATGTGGACGATACTTAGGTGAAACCACATACCAAATTTTTGTTCATTCCAGTTGATGGTTTGGAAGATATCAAAAAAATTGTTTTTTCTTTTTAAACTTCAACACCCCATATCATTTTAATGAAGCCCTAGAGGAAAAGATGTTTCATAGAAGACCCCCGTAGAATGCGGTCCTATGTATGATGCTTCATTTTTGGTCACCACTTGTGAATCACCCTGTATATAACGAACAATATCTATCTAGCAACAAATACTTTGTTTCATTGAAGTACAGAGCTGCACTTCATCAGTTCCACGATTTTTTGTGATCCAAAACATTGGGCGATCTGTTATTTAACTAGTTGCTATGTAAGCCCAATTTTTATTGGTCTATGAAATACTGATTTCCGTAATGAACAATTTTGTTCTTTTTGTTTTGAGATTTGTTCCACGATCCCTAAGGCGTTATAGCGCTCATACGATTGTATTCAAATTCCGTTGGTATGTAATTGCAGTTTTCTTTTATTGTTATTCTATAAAATTGTAACATCCTTTGTTGATCATAAATGGTACCTCAGTATCTATGACTGAACAAATTGTGTTTATATTTGAATCACAGTTTTGATACTACTGGCAGTTTAATACAATTGTACCATACCGTAATGTTATATCAATTCAGCATTTACAGAGTTATATCATAATTATATGCTGATTGGCCGCTTAAACATTGACCAGTGGCTATGCCAGGTCTCAGGGCTATAGACCAAAAAAAAATCAGAAAGGTGTTATATCCTACTTTTATAGTTGTGATGTTTTCAAATTCGTAACAGGCTAATATACGTAAGAAAATATTCGACACGAAGAAAACAGTCAAGTTTTGTTATTGCAGGAGAAAAATACTTTCATGTAGTTTTATACTTCTACTTTTTACTCAATGTTCTGGACCTAAAATACCATAGTTGAAGCTCTGTCAAAATCCTTATCGTTGTCCAAATGTTAAACTGAATTTCGGTAGTCTGTAGTTCGAAAACATTCCAATTCGCAAGCTTGAAACATGCGAATTACTCACTATAACCTACAGGTCAAATATTTTCACAACAGTTTTGAAACACTAGCTCGGTGTTATGACGAAAGTAATAGTTCACCTAAAAATTGGCAAATTCGCCCAAAACGTGATCAGTATTTAGAACCGTTCGGGAGCGGGAAACGCCGGCTACCTTACATACGCCACTGCACTGGCTGCAACTGCGTTTCGGTAAAGTTGGTTGTTGATAGCAAACTCATAAAGATGCTATCATATTCTCCTTTTCACGATACAATAGTTATTTACCTAACAAGTACGGAAGTAATACGGAAAATACACTTTCCGCAAGTGTTAGGTATAAGATTCTTTCTAATAGCGCAGCGCGAGAAAATAATAAACCCAGAATTTTAAGTAAGGACTATGTTTTACTAGAAATTTAATAATTGTAAAATCAACATCGTCATCAAAAAGAACAGCATCAATAATTCATTTATAATAATCATAAACAATATTAAATTAAAAGAAAAGTTATTTGGCTTCTGGAAACTTGTAGGCGTTCTCGAAGCAGAACTAGTGCGGAAAAGTTATGCGTACGGAAAAATGCTACTTTCTGCACGCAGATGCTTGTGGAAAGTAAGTACCTTCCGCACGCTGGTAGAAAAAAGATTTAATGTATTTAATTGAAGATCGCTTTTACCTACAATGTACTTATCTCTAAAGGAACGAATGAGGGTGACAGTATTTTCGGTTTTCAGGCGGCCATTTCAGTAGCATTATGACGCACACCATACAAACAAACAGAATGGCGTGGTTTCATAAATCCTAAAGAAGACCAACTTGCAGGGCTGGTGCAAACCATCGAGTGTTGCTGCCTTGCTTTCGGAACGATATTACCTCAACAGTCAGTCATTGAGAAGACACAGACATTATTACTGTAAAAAGGTACATTCATAATACATCCTCTATTTACCATAGTAAAAATATCCCTCTATACAGGGTGTTTATTTACAAAATGCCCACCAAACTTTCAGGTTGGTGAGTAAACACAATAGATTTCAAATGTTCTCATAAAAAAAGTCTAATGGCGTCAAATCAGGAGATTCATCAGGCCATTCTATATGCCCTCTTCACCATATCCATTTATCTGGAAACTCGTCGTCTAACCATTGCCGAACCGGAAGAACATAGTGAGGAGGAGCGCCGTCTTGCTGAAAATACATTTCAGCTTCATCAAGTATAATAGGATCTCGATTCTCTTCGATTTGGTTTTCAATGGTTTCAGTGATAAGCGGATTGATGGTATTTTCCAACATATCCAAATAAATGTCTCCATTAAAATTTACATCAATAAACAATGGCCCAGTCACTTCATTTCCTAAAATGCCATAATTTTTTGGGGGTATGAGAATTCTTATTGCTCCAATACCTGCAGCAGTGCCTATTAACAAATCCATTTAGATGAAATGTGCATTCATCACTGGAGCAGATATTCTTTCCATGATGGGTATTATCATTAATCGCTGCAGTTCACAAAACTCAACTCGCTTATCGAAATCATCTTCGGTTAACTCTTGCAAATATCTTCATTCTGAATGGATGAAATTTATGGAGATCAGTAATTGTGTGCTCTACAGAGCCTAATGGTGACGTCTTTTATTTGCAACAGATCCAGTTTGAGTAAATTTAGTAACAAGGTCCAAAGCATACCTATGCGAAGTTATGTTCCCCAGATGTCTGGCGTTTAACGTGACGGCAGTTTGCCGAGCACATTGATTTTGGGCACCATAATTTAGAATCATTTCCACTCTTTCGACTGGTGTGTGAACCATTTTGTAAGTAAAATCTGAATTAGTACATTAATTTTCACTATCCCAAGGTTGTCACAAAGGTAACTGACAGCAAACTAAATTATTTATTTCCCTTAGCAACGAATTACTAAACAGGTATATCAATAAATACAGTTCGCCCAGGATATCTGTGTTGATAAAACGAGTGCAGAAATTCGGGTTGTTATTGGTTATTGCCACGTCTAATCTTCCGAAGTGCTGTTTATATTGGTAGTTTTCATTTTAAATTATAAACGAATTGTAGATTTGGCAAACCCTAACGGGCAACATTTTGAACACTTAGTGGAATAGAAAGTGATATTTTCGTGTGTTTATGTTTTCTGTCTGAACAAATTAAGATAAATAAAGGTTTTTCTAACTTTCTGGAATACGAATCGACTGATTTTAAAAAATCAAACAAACTGTTATTCGATACCCCTGGACATTTAAAATTTTCAAGGGAATGACCCTGGGAGCCCAAGGGTAAAAGGGGTGAAGTATTTTTTGGTTAAAAAGTTGACCCCCTTGATAAATCTTTAGACGCGTCTCGGCGTTTTTTCTTTTAATCAGTGGTTTACGATAAATCCGTGGCGGGAAGTTT